TTGCATATTATATGGAGTTCTAGGCATTATACTTAATTGACTTGTATTATTTAAATCATACTTGCATACTAAACATGAACTACTAGGTCTTTTCGATGAAGATGGATGGTAAACATTTGCAATCTTATTAGCCTCAAACATATCAGCAATAATTATTGAAATTCGTGGAACAAAAGTAATTATGTTACCACGAATAACAAAATTTAACTCAGGTCCATTAATAATAGGAGTAAGAAGAATTTCTAGACACTTATGAAAGGCTTCTCTATGCAACTTTCGAAAACCATCAGAATTTTTAGTAGCAGAATCTTTAGCCTTTAATATTGGTAGATATCCTATTAATGCTTTAGATTCCGGCTTATTTCTATGGGAATTGGGTATATTACCAAGTGAAAGAAAAATTGTGTGCCTAGAAGATTTTCCTATATGATCTAAAGTAGTTGCATCAGAATAAAGGATAATCGATCATTGCCTAACAAGTAAATTAGATTCTTCATGTTTCCACCAATTACAGTTATATTGTTCTTCAAAGACCCGATGTCTAGAATTATTTATTGTTTCATATTTTTCTGTATAATGAAGTACTAATGATTGATTTATACTATTTATTGATATTAATAATTTAATTGCTTTAATCAATGACCGATAATAAAATATATAATTAATATTTTGAAATGTTTTGATTGGAATTTCTTTGAACATTGCATAAGGGGTGGTAGAATTATCAAGAAATTCCTTTCCAATCTTTGTTGACGAGGGTAATGGTGAAACATCTATGTTGGAAAACTTGTTGAAAAAAATTTATTACAGCATCCCCAGCTGAATTTGATAGTTGATACTTATTGATTATACCCATAAACTCTTAATATGCATCGCTAGGCCATTCAATAGTTTGGATATATTCTAAATCATCAAATGAAGCACCTTTAAAATCTTCAGAATCAACATTAGTCAATGCTTCTTGAGATGGCTCATAATCCATAAAATAACTATCGTTTGCTAATGATTCTGTTTCCATAATATCAAGATTATCTGAATTTAATTCAGACTGAAATGATGTATTTTCATTCTAAAATAAACAATTCTTTAGCATTTGTTAATAATCAGTATATGGTAATGCCCATAGCAAAAGTGGGGATGGAACTATATAATATATAGTCCCATCCCCGCTTTTGCTATGGGCATTACCATATCTATAATAAACTTATAAATTACTTCATAATCTGTAGAATATTCATCACTTGAACTATAATTGTTATAATCTGGAAGTTGCCAGATAGAATCATCAAATTGCTTAATAGAAGCAATTTGATTTGTATCATCTTGTATATAAGGGTGCTTTTGCGAAATATGTTGTGTTAAAGCATAAGGTTTTGAAAACTCTCGCTTGCAATACTCACACAACCAACGCATTTGAAAAGAAAAAAAAAAGATATAAATAAAAAAACTAATAAAAAAGGAAAAGACTAGGATACCGAACCTGATTAAAAAAAATAAAATAAGAGTGGTCAAATAAACGAAAAGAAATTAGTTTAAAACAATTAGAAGTTATGTGAATAACTATATTGTTAAAATGATATATATCGATTAGTATGAAAATAACAGGACAGAAATCGGTTTCTTAGATGTAAAAAAATAAAATTGAGTTTAGTAAAAAACGAATATGAGTTATGTGAATCTAAAGCGATATATATCGATTAAAACAAATATATATGTATCTAATGAATTAAATTTGTTTTTCGATCAAACAATTATGCGAATAATGTTTTGATGACATAACACACTAAACAAAATAAACTTTATATTTAATTAATTTAATTATTACAAAAATTGATCATTGATATATTATATAATCTATTTAAACTATCTATAATATATATAGTAAATTATGAAATCTCGAACTTTTAATATGATTAATAAAGATCGATAAATCAACCTCTATAAATTGCAAGTAATGTTATTAGCAATGCATAGCACAACTTGTCAATATTGTTCAAAATATTGAAGTTATGGATGTTATACAGAAATAGAATATTGTCAAGAGTTCCTTTCGGTAAGATTATTAATTACAAGCGAACCAAAGTGATTTATAATTATACTATCAATTAAGTATCTAATTATAATAGAGAAGCAATAGCAATAAAATGATAGTATAGATAATATATAAAGTTCATATTTAATACTAGAGACGGATCAGATCTTGAAAGACTGAATAGTGACTGGTCTTTTTAACCGATCTTATGGTTCCCATCCTGATACTAGTTTGGATCGGTCTTCATAAATATCTAATTAAAATAATAATGCATATCGGTATCAGGTATACAATATTTTTGAAGATTTATCATGGTAACTATTTTTGTAATATTGTGTAACTTATTTGAACTATATCATGATAAATCATTATAAATAGGGATGGATCGGTCTGACCAGTCCGATCTCGGTCCCGACCTCCAACTATTAGCAGAGAGAATAAAATTGCATAATATCAGTAACTAATTTTTTAAAATAATTTTTTAAATCTCAGATACTTTATATTTAATGACACGCGTAAATTTTTATTAAAATAAGTATTCTTGCGTTATTATACTTTATATTTAATAACAGAGTAAATTTTAGATAAATAAGTATTCTTGCATTATTATATCTTCTTTTATTATAAGTGGTTGACATCGTTAGATATTAATTTTTTTTCTTGCGCAATAGTTTCAATAAAAATATAAATACAAGCTTAACACAAAAGGTAACAGTAAAAAAAATTTTGATAAACAAATTTTTGATAATGGACAACACACCCAGAAATACTACACCACCATATCCTGCTAGACCTATTACTTATTCTCAATCCAACATCCTCCAACTTTTAAACTATGATAATAATGATATTGCTAAACCTCATTAACCACCAATCTTAACAATGATGGTTCTTTTTCTGATTCAACATCTAGAAGCGTTAGAAGTATTCAATGAACATTTTCGAATATGAGCGACCAACATCAATCATGCCAACCATCCTCCACTCGCTCCCGTCGTGAATCCATAACTCACCACCCTTCCTTCCGCCATGAATCAAGATCTCACTATAGATCGCGCTATAGTGATCATGATCAATCAGTATCACCGTCTTAACGACATTCTTCAAGACATTCATCACAACAATGATCACAAGATAGATCTCAATCACATGATAGTGATAGAAGATTTGCAAACCAAAATCGTATAGATGATCAACATGGTACATATATAAGGGGTTTTTTTTTTTTTGACAATTTTCAGATTCTTTTTTTTTTTTTTTTTTTTACAATTTTTTTTTTCTTTTTTTTTTTTTATATGTATAATTAAGCAAACAATCACTGTCACAGCAAGTTAATGAGCGAATGTTCACTCAGCTTAAGCAGTTCTACTTAATGCTTAAGAAAATTGATGAAAGTTCGAATGAAATTAAAGCCAGATTAGAATGATTAGAAAGGCAACAGGATGAACGAGAGAACGATCTCTCCACACAAGTAATGGATATAAGTGTTTTCTTTTTTTTTTTAATATCTTTGCAACAAATCCGCTAAGTAAATTTAGGTTCTAGTGGTATATAGCGTATTGGGTTTGTGCTGAAAGGTAATATATATATATATATTATAGGATGTGTTTATCTGCATGGTTAAGTGGCTCTTTCCGAGCCATATATATCCCAGCCAAGATAATTTGAATGATGCTCTTCAGCAATGTCTTGAAGAGAAGTTCCCCGAATTTATGCATAATCTAAGTTCCAACCAATATACTAATAGATTTCATGGAGAATGGTTCAGTCCCGTATATATCGATAGCTATCGTTTTTTTTTGTTTTATTTTTTTTAATATTTATGCTTTCGTTTTTGATTTTTTATTATTTTTTAACAATAGCTGTTGCAAAAAATGAAGAATCTTTGAGGCGCGTCAGTTCAAAACGTAAGGGCAGCAGTATGGCGTGTATTCGGGTGCGAACGATTACCACCATTAAAGAGAAACGCTGCACCAGCTGATATTATAAGTTAGAAACAAAGCGAAGAAGTTCACAATTGCTTCCGTTCTCTTTTTGAAATGAACCATGACAGTGTTTTTTGGGTATCTATCATTGCGAGGTCAGCCTTCTCTGAGGTTTTTGTACCTACGCTCTCCGATAAGCACTGCGCCTTTACGCTCGCGGTCTGTGATCTTTTACTAAATCCCCAGTCTAAAAGCATCACGTGTACAGAAAAACACCTTATGCGTCGTATCGAAAGGTATCTTGTAAGTATTGTTATTAATTAGTATTAATTATATATTATTAATTATTATTAATTATTATTGTTTAATCATTGTTAATATAGAACGACTTTGGTAATGGTGGGCCATCGTACGATTCCGCTGAATATATATTAAACAATGAAAATACGCGTCATAGTTGTAATTCACGACAAGCATCACCTCAGTATGAAACTGAACCCGAAGGTGAACCTTCATCATCTCAACAAGCCGATTCATTCTCGTCTCAACATCAAATGGAACTTTCGCAAGAGGACGCTGATGAATTATTTGGTTGCAATTAATATTTTTTGTATTTTTCTTTTGAATTAGTTGCTTTTGTTAGCAATTTATTATGTATTAAATTTATAATCTGTAATAAAATTATGTATTTGTGTTGTATATAGCATAATATATTTATGCTCTAATATGATATATTGCTTTATAATGAATATACTGGTATATAATGTTTTATAAAAATTACGTATAATATAAATTTCAGTTTACACTAGTATTTTAGCAATATCATTTATTAAAAAAAACTTACTTGATTAAACCCGTTATATATCGATTTATATCGATTGCTTTAAAACAGATTATATATCATTATATACCATAATTGATATAACCTAGCAGGGGTAATTATTATCGATATATATCTAGTGGGTTATCGATCGATATATATCTCTATATAAAATTTCCCAATGGACACATCAGATTATACACAGTCTGCTATAACATATTTTGTAAAATTTAAATTTCATTGCCAATAGAATTTAAACTCTTGTCCTGCTGCTTGGAGATGTAACAACTTACCAACTTCACTAAGTTGCCATACCCTTTAAATGTTAAATTTTAATACACTAAACAAAAAAATTAATTATAAGAAAATAAATTTAAAAAATAAATAGTGAATAAAAATAATTAGATACTTATCTAACTTTAATTGCTAGCTAAATTTTCTTATATTAAACAAATACATTCAAGTATTCATATATAATTTAACTACATAAATAAAAGTTTTTGTATTTCCTGCATAAAACACACCCACATTTTCTTGAGCATAATGAATATAATTTGGTGCACAATTTGTTATTTGGCATTGACAGATTTCTTGTCAGGTGTCTTGACTTGAACCAATATTATTATTCATAACACTAATATTACAAAAATTATATAATTAATAATAATAATATTATTATTATTATTATTATAGTAAAAGTATAATAAAATAGTAGTAAAATAGTAGTAAGTAGTAGTAGATATATTGCTAACTTATAGTAAATATAAATTGTAATTACTACAAAATAATTATATAATAACTTTATAGTTACTTTATAACTAATTACAAGTAATATTAAAGTTGTAATTTGTAAGTTTTAGTAAAGTAGTTATTTAGACTATTTTTATTTTATAATAATAAATAGTTATATTATCTAGAAATAAGTTTACAATACTTTATAAATATATATTATTTTAAGAATTAATCTGCATTATTTGTCGTACTAAAATTTAAATAATAAAATTTGATAATAATAATCTATTTATAACATTAACCAATTAAATTTTAAATAAGTTATTTATAATATGCAAGAAAATTAAAACTGATTTACATTACTTCTTCATAAACAAATTAAATACAAACAAATATGGATATTAATGAATCAGCTAAAGAAATTTGTAGATGTAAAGCTTGTTTAATTATTGATTCACAAGGTTAAATACTTAGTAAACGAATTAAATGTCAATATGAAAAAGCTGAAAAATGTATATATGATGAAGATGGTGTAATTATTGGAAAACATATACTAAAAGTGAAGAATCAACAAGTTCAATTATCAATATGAAGAATTCAACAAGAAGAACTGGATTTAGAATTTTATAACAATTCAGAATTAGAACTATTAAATCAATTTGAACAATATAGAGAATTAGAATTACAACAAAACAATAAATATGAAATATTAAATAATAATTTTGCAAATACAAATCTAACAATTTAATTCAAAAAATTAAAGATAAATAAGATAAATATATATTACTTAAGTTATATAATTTTAAATAAAATTTATGATTATATATTAATTAGTTATTTTATTTATTTAGAATCAACAAATATAATTAATTCATTAAAACTATTATATTTAAAGTCAAAAAATCCTTATATTTCTGATAAAAATTTTGAAGAAATATTAAAAATTTTTAATTGTCATGGTTTTACATTATATTCAACAAAAAACATTCTTCAAAAATTAGTTAATATTAATATACAATATGTAAATATGTGTATTAATTCATATATAGCTTATACTGACAAATATATAGAAGCAACACAATGCCCAATATGTTTATTACTTAATTTAAAGAAAACAATATTGCACAAAAATCAGCTGCTTACTATCTATTAATTTCTTGATTAAAACTTCAATATGCTAATTCTGAAAGATCAAGAACCTTTAAATATCGATCAAATTATATATTTAATTCAAATTTATATCAGAACATTTTTGATGGATATTTATATAAGAGTCTATTGCATAATAATATAATTAAAGATGAACAAGATTTAGTACTTTCAGCTAGATAGATATCAAATTTTAAACAACATCATGATGATAATTGGGTGATTATATTTATTAATAACAATATTCTACCAGAAAATAAAGTTAAGCAAAAAAATCTTTTAATAGTGGCAATAATACCTGATCCTAATAGTCCAAAGAACTTTAATAGTTTTATGCGACCTATAATGAATGAGCTAAAAATACTTGAAGATATTTATTTTATATATTAAATTAAGGACTAGACTAGTCGGTGCCCCTTGCACTGTGTGTCTCTTACTATAAAATTGCTAATATCTCAAAATTTTGACTAGGTAACACCTATTGTGTAACATAAGGAAAAATGTTCCTCTCGCAATTTTACCTTACCTTAACTCTAACCCTAACTCTAATTCTAACATTAACATAATTTATATTGCAAGCATAGTTTTGCTATAGGGGCACACTGTGCATGGGAGCACCAACTAGATTTTTCCTTAAATTAATTTAATTTAATTTATAAAAATATTAACTTTAATTTTAATTTATAATTTTTTTTAATTTAGAGGTATACTTTGTTGGGATGGTTGAAAAAAAAACTTTTATATTATGTGCTTTTGTTCTAATTTGGTATGGCAATATACTAGCCATTACCAAATTAACATATATAACAGGATATAATAGATATATGGGCTGTAGATTTTGCAATTTAAGAGGAGTATTGGATTTAAAATCAGGAGTTAATCATGTGTATTATCCTTTAAATTATCTAACAACCAATGGTGAAAACTTATATAACATAGAAAATCTTCCATTACGAAACCACAAATCATATTTAAACAAAGTATCAATATGGAAAGCTGCATCAGATAAAAAAAAGATGCAAAAAGAAACTGGTATAATAAACAAAATTTTAAAATAATTATTTAAAATTTAAATATATTATTATAATATTTAATATTTATAATTTTTACTAAAAAATTAAGTTTAAATTACAAATACTATAAAAATAATATATTCAAATTCTAAAAAATTATTTAAAATTGTTGTTTTAAAATTTTAAATTTTAAATTAATAAAATTTTTTAATTTATATTATAGGCATAACAGGAGAAAGTATTCTTTTTAAATTAAAAGCTATACAATTTCCTGCTTCTTTTTCATTAGATATAATGCATCTTCTATTTGAAGGTGCTGCAATGCAAATGTATAAGCACTGGTTAGAAACTTTTTATATAAACAAGTCTTTAAATAATTCTGAAAGCAATCCACAAACTTTACCTAAAACTATTTGGAAAAATATTGGTCATATAATGGATACAAATAAAAAATCAATGCCATCTGAGTTTGGATGGCCTCCACTAAATATTACTCGACATTTTAATGCATTTAAAGCTAAGAATTGGGTGAATTGGACTTGTTTATATTCATTACCATTATTACAGCATTTTTATAGTAAAAGATATTTTTTTAAATTAATTTTATTAAATAAAATATAATTAAAAAAATTAACTTTTTATTAATGTAGATAATTGGTATTTGTTTGTAGAAGCTGCTTAGATTGCTACAAAAAAACAATTACTCTTAAAGAATTAGATCATTTAGATAAAAACTTTCAAAACTTTTTTAAAACATATACTAGGTATACATTTATATAATATTTTATAATTTATCTAAATAATATATTAAAATATATATGATTATTTAGACTATATGCCAGAAATGATATAAAGCGATTATCATCTTTTCAGATTACATTTCATTATCTGCTTCATATACAAACTTGTATTAAAAACTGTGGACCATGTTGGGTATACTGGCAATATCCAATAGAACGTTTGTGTGGGATATTACAACCTATGGTCTGATCTAATTTAAACCTATATAAAACTTTAATGAATAATATATTGTTACAAGATCGCTTTTATCATCTTCATTTTATTTCAGATTTATATAAACAAATTTTACCTTCACAACCTTCTAAGGAATATAGTTCACATCAAGTAATTTGGATTAAAGATGGCGGAGAAGAACTTTGGGCACCAAGTTTAGATTATACATTAAATAATAAAGAATTTACTGCATTAGCAAATTTTTATCGTGCTAATTTAAAAAGACCAATTTTAGAAGTAAGCTAATTTTATTATAAAATATTAATTACATACTAATTTACTATACAATATAAATTAAATGATTGGGGTATAAAATATGCCAAACTTTGTACAAAAGAAGGTTACATGATTGGTTCTTTAATGTCTAAAGTAGCAACTAATGCTTGTGATAATTCATGTATAATGGTAAGCTAATTTTGTTATATTTATGTTATACTGTAAATTTATTTATATATTTATATATTAATTACTATATTTTTTTTTAAGTATGAGCTTGAGGTCAATGTTTCTAAACTAAAACATACCAAAAAATATGAGTTACAACAATTTTTTGGTCATGTACATTTTTATTTTTATTATGTATTCAGTGGAAAATACCAACTACTTGCATATATTCAAAATGCTAAGAATGTACGAAAAGGACTATATAATTTACATAGTTTTGAAGAATTTGGCGATTATGAGTTTGTAAATGTATCAATGATACAAAGATGTGTAAGCTTTTTAAAAGTTGGAAAATGCTTTTATGTTATAGATAAGAAGAATTAGACAAACTGTTTTAAATCTAAGCATTTTTTTTCAGTACCAAT